TAATTACTAAAATATACAGGAATTTGTTACTTTCTTTATAAAGCCTCTACTACAAGAAGTACCAATAAATAATTAAATTTGAGTGGCTATAAATGGCTTACATAAATACAGCAAATCTCATTCTAATTGCACCTATTTTTGAAGAATGGAGAATATCTACACCCCAACACCGTCTTCTTCCTAGAACCATAATGGAATAACCCATTCACTAACTGGGCTTGTACCATTAGTCAGGAAATGTAATTGAACATCTTTCGGTCAGTTGAATGTAGTAATAGCTGACTTGTTAATTAGAAATGTCCAGAATCGGGCTATTACATGCAGGCCAAGCCCTCAGCCCGCAAGACAGATAACTAAACGTGGATCGGGTGAAAGTCAAGTCAAGTCGTCGTTTGCGAGCTTCTCCTTCACTGTAATGAAACTAGAACAAACTGCACGATTGTGGCAAATGGATAAGAGAGGAAAAGCTGCAGAACTGGGAAAGGTTTTTGTGTCGTCCAGCTAGCACCTTTCACAAAAGCCGAAACCATCAGCGGACCCACAACGAAACTGCTCCAAACAATCAACTGATAGTTCTTAATACCCCTAAGTACCCATTGGCAAATCGATGTCGCCCTGCTTGGTTCTGTAGGCACAAAGTTTCTATTGGCGGGTAAATTATCGATTCGTGATGCAGCCAGAACAGCGTAATAAAATTGTCAACATGACAGGCCGCGATTAATATAGAGTTCAGATTTATAATGCATAAATCATGCAGCAGATGGAACGTGCTCCATTGCTCCAATGCCTTGCATTACTTTTCCCACAATTCAAAGATGCGACTCCTTGGGCGAATTCTGAATGCATTCTGCTAGAGATGGGCCTTTGTTGGGCTTCCAGTCAAATGTATTTTTTTTTCTTAATCAACGTTTTGATTTCAGTTCACTTTTGTGTGCCTCAAATACCTAAAGAGCCCGTCTTAAATGTGTCCCAGTTTCTTGAGTCATAGCAAGTAATTCTGCTGTGAAGTTCAGTAGAGTCCATAGCCGCCGCGAAACATGATCATAATTCCATCACAGGCGCATCTCTATAGGCCAAAGCCAACGACCGGACAGAGTTTGTGGCAAACTTGTTCTGACTTTTGTTACAATTGGCGATTCCTTTCTTTTTTATTCTGCTTTCTAGCGCTGTAAGACAATGCACCATAAAACTGCAATGGAGCTGTGATCGCTGCTGCTTCTCACTCCACCCATTTCCATTTCAGTTGCCATGCAAATTTCTGACTCGTGTTGTTTTTCCGTCTCGAATGTTTTCCTCTTTCCGGGCACATTTGTCAAGGTGTCTTGTAAACAAGGCACCCAAGCAGCCCAAGAAACCCATGAAGCCCAAAAGATCCCAAAAGAACCCAAAGAACCCAAAGAACCTCGAAAGAACCCAGAGGCAAGCACCGTTAGATCAGATGCAGACATTGGGCTTATATAACGCATTGCGCCAGCCAATTGTACTTTTTATTGGTTACCTCTTTAGGCCATAAATGGTAGTGACAAAAGTCGGAATTTATGGCCCGCTGACAGCTCTGATAAATAACCCAAGGCCCGACTTTGGCTTAGAGTAGTGGCCTGTTGTTTGGATTTTGTCTTTTGACTGGTGGATGGGGCGTGTTGCAGGTGGGGAATTCACCTAAGAGAGCCATAAAATTTTTTATCTTTGACTTTTTTCTTGCAGCACGTCGTCGTGAGGAGCCCGGAGTTAATTAGCAGGGAATAAATGGCTTTTGAAATTCCTTCTCCTTTGGTAATTAATCTGGCAGTGCGTTACAAAAAGTGTGCCGACAGAAGCCAAGGAAGCACATGGACTTACGTTTTATTAAAGAATGGAGCAAAGAGCACAAACACATATTTCGTCCTTTTAAATAACATTGATATCATTTATACATTGATCATATAACATTGATACATTTATATGCAATCTTTACCGAATTAAATGTTTTGTTAAATAAACAAGAATCTAAAGGATTAATTACGAAGCACATATTTTTCATTGTCGCCGTAATACATAATATAAGCCTCATATATGGACGACCAACACCCCTATATAGGGGTAGCTATATCTAATTTCCATAAGTTTGTTTATTTTCCGTGTATTTCGCTGATGTTATTCGGATAGTGGCGACACAAAAGAAAGAGATTCTCCTCATATGGCCAGGCTAGGTTGGTTTAGTTTTTCGCTGCCTTCTAAAGATACGCGCACTCTTTTTCAGCTGGTTGCTGGTTGCCTCACCGTTGCAATATCAGATTACGTGCGGGCCAGCTTTTGTTGTTGGCCGGGAACTGGGGCCTCTCCTTAAGTGCCCAGTGCTTTTTGGCATATCAGATGTTGCTAATGTGGCTGCGCTAACTGTGGGCCGGGCTCTAGCGCTCCACTTGAAAGGAGAGCTTAGAACCAGATACAAGATACAAGACACAAGATACTTTTTCCGACCTTGAGATGGCGGTCGAAGCTCAGCTCCCGGCCCTGATAATCGAATTTGTGGCACACCACACTTTGGCAAGATTATCGAGATGACCAAAGGGCATTCAGGAAGTTCATTTGATACCTTTACAATATCGAGTAACTTTGTAAGATCATTTCTGGTAAGATTACACATATTGTATTTTGAAGATATTTGAGAAACATTATTAGAATTATCTTTAGTTTTTACGAAGTTAAGATTAGAAACTAAGATCGATGCATAAAATCGATCTAAGCGCTCTAGAAAATGGTTTACGCCTTATAAAGTTAATTATTGAATCGCATAACTGCAGTATTCCGACATCGAGTTAAAGACTTATTACATACATATGTAATCGCCTAATGAAGCTTTCTTCCCGTCTTCGGACTCAAACTCGTAGATTTCCTTCATCTCCCTGAGTTCTTTTCCTAACATTTTCAATTGCAGGCAATTAGCAATTTCTGCTCGGGCTCGCTTTAATGGCATTCTAACGTAAAATGTCGTCTTACATTCGAGTTTTATAGCTTCCGCTTTGCATTATCAAATATTATTGGTGTTGTTCTACCGCTTGTTATAGCCCGCTTCATCTTCTTCTTCCTACCTTCTTACCTTCTTTGCGATTGCATGTCGTCACGTCAAGCTCTAAGAAGTGGCAAGAAGAAGCAGAAGAATCGGCGCAGCATCTGGATGAAAAAACCCTTGGCAATCTAATGATGATCATTAGGAGCGGTACTGTAATCACACAGAAGCCAAACTCAAACTCCCAGCTGAATCTTAAGCCAGTTCCCCTTCTTCTTCTTCCTGTTCTTCCGCGCCTGCTTCTTCTTGCTTTTTGTCAACATAAAACGGTAATTTCTTAAACAAAAAAGTAGAAACAACTGAGTAGCAAAAGATTACTCTGAACTTTTTTACACCGGAAACAAAGAACGAGTCGAAAAAGTACAAGGCAGTTCTTAGAAATCAAAATTGCTCGCTAAGCTAATGTTTTTTAAATGACTATTCTGCATTAAGCCAAACGGTACTATTTATGTTACTAAATATTACGTTTAAGTATTTTATCCAAAAAATTAACATTTTTTTTATATATTATTTAATTTCTTGTTTAATGTTATTCTTCTGAATTCATTATTTTAGAAATTTATACATTTATATATATTTGGTACCATGCAGATTTTAAATCTAAGCTGTATTTGCCACCTATTTTTTGACCTTCCGTTTGTGCAGTGTAATTAAAGCCAATGCAACCTATATTCCCTCCCTTGATCTCCACACTCTCGGTCCTCTCCCTTCTGGTTTCCCCGGTTTTCAAACTCCGAGTGCGTTTTTTGCGGCTGTGCGACTATTGTAACGGCTTTGATTCGTCTTAGGAAGTCGCCTAAGTTTTTGTCGGCGTTGCCTTGGGTTCATCTGCCACCGACCGACCCCCCTTTCTCACAGTGTGCCCTAGTGATGCGACTTCTTTTTGTTTGCTTGCCGCTGCTGGCATCTTAACAGTTAAATGCTTAGTTTACATCATTAGCATGCCGTTTCCAGATATTTCATTTTCTTTTGGCTAATAAATAAGCAATTTAGTAGCTGCTTCTTCTGCTGTCATCGAATACTTCTTTAATTGGCCTGCGCAAGCTGGTAAGCATTATTTAATTAGCATAGATGTGCAGGGAATTGGAATCACTTGATTACCATTATACAGTTGGGAATTTAATTTCGGATTCAATTAAATAAAAGTGAATAAAATAATAATAATTTAAATACCCTTGCTATTTAATAACCAGAAAGTTCGTTGACTCAGTCTTCCGTTTGTGTTAAATAAAATATACATTTCCATGTTTTCATTTACGCTTTGATAAATACGCGAGCAAGTGCAGAAATATTTGATAAATAAACCACGGCATTATTATGTCTTCCAAGAAATGAATTAAAATGTATATGTTGTTTTACCGCAGTCATTACACTTAGATAAACACACAGGAATCATTGCCTGTGGGGCCAGTTCGTTGCCTGAGTCTTTCGATTGTGTGTGATTTTGCTTTTGTCTCTGTGTCCGCAAGAACGAGTGCACTGAAGCATGGACTTTTGGCTCCGACTGCAGGTTTTTGTGTGAGTCTACTATTATTTATTTATCTGGCCACCAAGTCGGTGGGTTCTATTAACCATGTAAACAATACCGTTAACACGACACGACACGTTAGAAAAAAAGCTTTTGGCAGCGGGAGCGAAATAGATAAATGAAATGTGCCGCAAGAATTTGCCAAGTTTGTGGGCAAAGAAGGGAAACGTCGACTTGCCAACTGCATATTCGCCCCCCTTGGTAATGCATCAAAGAATTGAACAACGAGAACAGCTACATAAAAAAAAGCGTGAAAAAGAGGCGACAGGAAAACGGTTTGAGGAAAACACTTATTAAATTTTAGCATGCCCAAAGTGTGGAAAGAGCAAGCGGGGAGGCCACAAAGAACCGCAACAACGACCCCAAGAACGAACCAAGAATTCCCAGTGATGCATTCCTGGAGTTTTCCGCAAGTTCACATACCTGTCTAGGTTGTGGTTTCCTTATATCCACTATTACTGTGGGGCACAAAAACAAAAAAGAACTGAATACAACTCCACAGATTTGTTTGTTTGTTTATGCTTGCACTTCACCGCTGCCACTCAAGGGTTCGATCATCCTTGACCACAAAAAGTGTCTTCTAGTCTTTGAGTCTCCGAAGAAGAGTCTTTTAATGTGTGTGTTTTCTTTTTATTTTTTACTACAGTATCCACGGTCCGATTGGTTTCCTCGTTCTGAACGCGTCGCGTGCTGTTTTCAAACTGAGGCTCAGCAACAAGTTCGAGTTGCTTTTAAGAAAAGCATTCGGAAGAAAGTTGTCTGCATACTGAATTCTGTTTCTGTTCGAGCGCGCCAAAGATTCTCGTTCGAAAGCTGCAGCGAAAGAGATATATTCTCCCAAGAGAAAGAGAGAATCCGCTAAGAGAGTCTTCTCTACCGAAGATAGATTAATTGCTGGTTGTACTGCAGATAAGCATGAAATGTCCCTTGTCCGCAGTTTGTTGGCCAATTAAAAATTAGATTTCGCTTCAGATTTTGCCCATGAGATTGGCCAAAGCTCGCGGAACGATTGCAAAGATAAATGTCTGATGGGTTATTTTTCGAAAAATAAAAACCCTCAGTAGTGTGTTGAAAGGGTTGAATGAACTAGAAAGTGAAGAGCTGCCTTTATTGATATCACACATAATTGTCCGTGAAATGTGATGAAAGTAATGGTGTAACTTTTGTGGTGCTTCGATTTAGTTTTAACTTTATGTGCACCAAATTATGCCAAGCAATACTCAGTTTAAAACGTTTTCATTTATTGAACTTATACAAAAGTATAAAGTTAAATTTTAAAACAACACACAACTTTTTTGATAATATTCACGAAACCTAACTAACTTAGGTAATAATCAATAAGCAATAAGCATTAAGCGTAATTTTCAAATGAAACTATTTTTTCGAATACATTAGTCATTTTATTTCAATCAACAATGCAATCTAGATCCTCTTATTTATGGCCCACTCATATCTAACTCATTTCAATAATCCGTACTTCCCTTTACCAATTATAAAACCATTCCCAGTCCCCCCGACCACGAAATTCAGACAAGAAAAAATATAATAATAAATACGTGTGTGTATACACACAAAAGACCATAAGGCACAGACATTCATTCCGATGCCAAATGCCGACGCCAATAAAGCCCCCAAGTAAACAATTCCAGGCATTACTCCATTACTCATAATGGCGCAGCCAAATGTCGCGGTCGCGGTCGCATCCTCATGCTCTTGAGCGGCGAAACGTAGAAACCGATTGTCGGAGCAGGGATCTGGAGTCTGGAGACGGAGCAGCACCCGCCCATGTCGTTCGCCAGGTTGCATAAATCTGTTCGATTCATAACACGAAGATTGCGAAGGAAGCACTGGGATCTGGCCTTGCCTTGGCTTTGCTCAGGTGACGGAGATGCAATCGTGCAGGCAACATAGGTTTGTATTTACTTTTTAAATGAGAAATGAACTAATTATTTGATTTTGTTAGAGTAACAGCTTTTAACAAAAATGTTGTATATCTAAATTACAATAATATTAATAATAGTACTAATATATTATCATTAACATTTAATAGTTTCTTAATACTCTTATTGTAAGTGCGGTCTGAAAAGGAATGGAAATCTGTTCCCAAATACTCAACTTTTGAATACTGTAATGGATATTATACACTCTCTATGTGCAATTGTACCTTTTACTTTTTAGATATTCGGGTGGACTCACAGTGCCATCTCTGGTTCCCCCATTGTGACTCCTTTATCAGCCTTGTCTTCATCGATCGCGTCGGAGATTTTGTCTGTCTGATTGGGTCGGGGGTCCGTCGGTGGGTCTGTTGTAGTGGACTCTTGTTCTGGGGCGTGTTCCACTGGATCTGCGGATCTGTGGATCTCCCTGTCCGTTCCCGTTGAGTCGTCGCTTTGTCTTGACTCCTTTGGCAGGCAGCTTCGCTGCGGCTCGGAGGCGTGTTTGGCTGGGGGAATAAAAACAGAATAATATAGAATGAAATATTTATCGCCATTAGAGCCTGATTAGCTGCGGGCGTGTTCTGGTCATCGTTCTTTGGGCCACGTTCCTCGCTGTTGGCCGCCTTGGTGCTCTTGGTTGCGAAGCTGTTTTGGAGGCACTTAATAAGCTTTTCTGGTGTGATTGTGATGGGAAATTGATATGTCCATTCAATTATGTGCTGGTCGTGTCAATAAACTGATTGCGATCGTGTCCAGCAACTTACTGACCAATTAGTTTCCCAATGAGACCTTTCCCATCAATATGATTGATAAAAACGGCGGTTAAAGAGGAGTGTCTGGGTTGAAATGAAATCTGGACGTGCTGACACCAAAAATGAAACGGATTTAATAACAAAACTCATTCCATGAGTTCTTTGGGGAGAATTGTTCTCCGAATGGTTGTACAATAGAAAAATGGAAAGTTAATCCGGGTATTTCTTGGTAAAGATAAGATCTCCGTTTTTTGGTATGCCTGGGCAGAAATTTCTATTTATATTCACTTTAAGTGTGTTATAATAAAAAAGATTAAGATTTTTTATAATACTTAACATGTGCTGCTTCTTGGAAACCTTTATCTATTTTATATTTTTTTACAAATATAATTTTGCTATCTTAACATTAAAATTCGTATCTGATAAAAGTTTTAAAGTTGCATTCTTAACCTGCATTTCATAACAAGCACGTGATACTGCAATCTTACAAGTATCTCTTTATTTAGACACTATCTAAAACTGCAAAATCATATCTTTTGGTTGGCTGCTATCCAGGATATGAACGAGGACACCTGGACATAAACAGACGGAGAGTTGGGCTGACCGCATGGTAGTTTTCCCCAAGACACGATGCCGATTAGGACATTTCCCTGGACCAGCGGACCACCGGAGTCCGAGGTGCAAAAGCTGGTGCCGCCGGTGAGGGGACCTGTGCAGAGATTTGTGGTGTGCACATCCCGACCCTTAGTGCCCAGTGCCGCAGCACAGGAGTCGAGGCTGATGATGGGTATGTTTCTTGGCCTCCTGGAGGGTCTTTGGATAGGAGGGGCTATTCGTTTTGCTGGTGCTGCCCCAGCCGAAGAGGTCAGCGTTTCCAGTTGGCCTCACTCCGGACGATGGCAGCTTCACAGGAGCCACGGCAGCGGTCCAAGTGAAGGCGGTGGGCGTGTAAATCAATCCAATGTCATAGGGCACAGTTCCACCGGTGTACAGATCATTGACCACATAGTGGGTGACTTGCCTCTTCTGGGTGGTGCTCGCTGTTCCGGCCACCGCAATGCTTCCTGCCACCAAGGTGCTTCCAAGTACTTGATTCTTGTTGGCCAGGCAGTGAGCAGCCGTTACCAACCAGTTGGAATTCACAATGTTAGCTGCGCAATAGTGGGTTCCTCCGTACTGCATTGACACTATAAACGGAGCACTATTGGCCGCCGCCGCTTTTCCTCCCACCACGCGTCCTTCGAGTTGGGCAAAGGCTAATCCAGATCCTTGGCAAAGGCACATCGCCAGCAGGAGGAAAGTGAACAGGGAGCGATGGCGCCACTTGGTTTGTCCATTCGCAATCATGGTTTTCGAAGAACTATTTACATTGGCAGTATCGGTGGCTTTTTAAATTATTTCGTGATACAGCCAAGAATATGATAAGAACTTTCAATTAGAGCCCTTGTCTTTCAGATAAGAACCAAATATAATTCAAGATTATACGTTTTTTTATATAATATATATTGTTCTCTTGCTATGATAGACTTTGTCAACAAGGGAACTGCAATATCTCAAGCTTGTCATTCTGTGTTTTCGAGGGGTTCCCCGCCCACTGATTAGGAAAATAATGTAAAAGATATTAACTAATGGGAGAAATTGAAATATTACATGATCTGCTCACAGACAATAATTTGGCGAATTTTTCTGTTGTTTTATTAGCGGCAAAGAACTTGTTATTGGCAGCCCGAAAATATGTGAAGTATATATTTCTGCTCAGTTGGTCCCTTGCTCACTGTGTTTCTCACACTTCAAGATAAGATAAACTTTAAAAACAGCTTGTTGTTTTGTATAGTCGCTACAGTGCGATGGAAAGTGCCGCACTTAAGTGACCAGCCACTAAGAGCACAACTTTGATTGCTTTTATTGAAAAAATGTGGGAAAACTCGGCATTCTAGGGCACCTGCTGGTTAGCCGATATCCAGGAAATAAACGACGAGACCTGCACGTAAACCGAGGGTGAGTTGGCCTGACCACAAGGTAGCTTGCCCCAGGACACGATGCCAATGAGAACATTGCCCTGGACCAGTGGTCCTCCCGAATCCGAGGTGCAAATGCTAACGCCGCCGGTCAGAGGACCAGTGCACAGATTGGTCGAATGGACATCGCTGCCCTTGGTGCCCAGGGCGCTCTCGCAGGAGCTCAGCGAGATGATGGGCACATTGGTGGCCACCTGTAGGGTGGATGGATAGGAGGCGGTATTCGTGGTGCTGGTGCTGCCCCATCCGTACAGATTGGCGGTGCCAGTGGGCACAACTCCGGAGGATGGAAGTGTGACTGGAGCCACGGCGGCGCTCCAAACGAAGGCGGTGGGCGTGTAGATCAATCCGATGTCGTAGGGAACTGTTCCACCGGTGTACAAGTCATTGATCACGAAATACGTGATACTGCGCGTCTGCGTAGTGCTGGCAGTTCCGGCCACCTGGATACTTCCGGCCACCAGGGTGCTGCCCAGCACCTGGTTACTGTTGGTGAGGCAGTGGGCAGCGGTGACCAGCCAGTTGGCATTCAGGATGCTGGCCGCACAGTAGTGGGTGCCTCCGTACTGCATGGACACCGCATAGGGAGCACTATTCACCGCCGCCGGACCTCCGCCCACCACTCGCCCCTCTGGTGCACCGATAGCCACTCCGGATATTTGGCATATGCCCAATATCAGGAGGAGCACTCTGGCCAACGACTTTGTTTGCTGTCCGTTCGCTATCATAGTATTCGCGGAACTGCTTACAGCGACCTTTATCGCGAGCTGTTTAAATTAATTCGCCATTCCAAAATTTTGCCAGCGCCAGCAGATAAGACTTTCAATTAAGGACTGCGTGTTCTCCAGATAACCACTTATTATAATTTGAGATTAAGCGACGTCTGAATAGTGACTCTTTGACAGAAGTACGTCAGGTTACAACAGCGATAGGATGGACAAATAACTACGTTCGTTTATCTCAAGAATGCCAATTCACCTTAAGGAGCTTTCGGATTTGCACAGACAAGTATTAACATTTGAAAATCACCTTTTAGTATTTCTTACTGTTGGTATTCACTGTTTAGTATTACAAAAATTGTACGCAAGTAGCTGGTACTACATCGTTTTTTAAACAATTTTAAGAAATTCATTTGTAGATTAAATATTTTTAAAGGGTTTCAATAACGGGTCCCAATATTCGATATTTGCAAATAAAACATCGATTTCGCAAGTGTGCACTTATCGATTACATCGTGAGAAATCGATTTTCGTTGCCTCTCTGGTCACACAGCAACTGACTCAGAAGTTGAAGAAGAAGCAGAGACCGTAATTTTTCCACGACTCAACCTAGCGATTTACCGAGCCATTCGAGCCGCAATCGGGCCTCTAGCCAGCCGGAATCATTTAGAGCGTGTTCAGCAGAGTGCGGCAACTTGGAAGCGGTGCATCCCTAGAAATCGCAGTGCGAAAGGGCCCCGAAAACCGCTGGCCCAGCCCCATTATAAACAGAGAGGAGGGGTGGAGAGTGGAGAGTGCGCAGCCGAGGAGTGTGGAGATTGGAGAGAGCGGAGCGAGAAGAGAGGTCAGCAAACCCGTAATTAAGAAAAAGTAGACACGTACGTTGTGGAAGATGTCATCCGGAGATTTTGGCAATCCGCTGCGGAAGTTCAAGCTCGTCTTCCTGGGCGAGCAGAGTGTGGGCAAGACCTCGCTGATTACGCGCTTCATGTACGACAGCTTCGACAACACGTACCAGGCGACGATCGGGATTGATTTCCTATCGAAGACCATGTACCTGGAGGATCGAACCGTGCGCCTGCAGTTGTGGGATACGGCGGGACAGGAGCGATTCCGCTCGCTGATACCCTCGTACATACGCGACTCCACGGTGGCTGTCGTCGTGTACGACATCACCAACACCAACTCGTTCCACCAGACCTCCAAGTGGATCGATGACGTGCGTACGGAGCGGGGCAGCGACGTCATCATCATGCTGGTGGGCAACAAGACGGATCTCTCCGACAAGCGTCAGGTTTCCACCGAGGAGGGGGAGCGCAAGGCGAAGGAGCTTAACGTGATGTTCATCGAGACAAGCGCCAAGGCCGGCTACAATGTGAAGCAGTTGTTCCGAAGGGTGGCCGCGGCACTGCCCGGCATGGATTCGACGGAGAACAAGCCCTCCGAGGATATGCAGGAGGTTGTGCTGAAGGACTCACCCAACGAGACAAAGGATCCCGAGGGCGGCTGCGCCTGCTAGAACCGGTTGAGCCGACGATCCGACTATCCTCTCCCCTTTCAACAGCAGGAGCAGATGCAGGAGATCGGCCAGCAACACTGGTGTACACAGGTGTCAAGTGTATGTACTGGCCGGATCTGCGGCGGATTCCTCAACATCTATACACACATACACACTTTACGTTTAAGTTTATTTATAAAGTAACAAATGATAGCAAAGGCAAATAGACTAAACAACAATTAACGAAATCGGCTAACTAATTACTGTTAATTGAGCAGTTCAGACGAGATAATCCCGAGCGTAGGCGAATGCTAACTTATTGACACGAGATCAGGGATCAAGATCAGAGTAATATTTGCGAGTTAGCTACCAGGCAAGAATATAGTGTTGTGCATTTCCGATACCCTTAAAACAAACCCAAAACCATGTACTTATGGCAGGCCAGGCGGTCCAGAATCCTCCGACATTCCAGCTCTCGGCATCTCCAACAGTCGTAGATACCACGCAGCCAGCCTGTGTTCAATGATTCCACCAGCCAGGCATTTTGTTTCCAATTTTAGCCCCCGTTCTGTTCTGTTTGCGGCTTTTGTTTCGCCAGTTTTGGTTAGGTTTTCGGTTTTAATTTTAGCACAGCGAACGCGACTGCTAACTGGAACTTTGGATGGCATAGGACTTGGCCACGTGCATCTTATGAATAAATATACACAAATATAAAATATGTATTTTTATGACTAAAACTGAAACAGATAAGCAGCACGAGCAGAGCAAACACTTAACAATATTATTAACAATTTTTGCTTCGATTAGCGAGAGAACTTTGTGCATTTTTTACGCGAAAAGCAAAAGCTTACAAAATTGATAATTGAATAAAAACATAAACTATGGATGCAATTTTTAATAAATCAAATTATGAAAATGAAAAGTATACAAGATACTAGCAATAAATTAATAATAAAAAAAAAAAACATTCAAAACATGACTCATACTCTGCAGGTGCACACACACCTTCCCCAAAAGGGCTCCGAAATATGTGGGGCGGCTTATCTTATCATTTAAAATCGTTCCTGAATGGATGGCGCACCTGTGTCGGCATGACTAGTCCTAAATTTCTGACAACTTCCACTGATTCGTCAAGAAACTGGAGTGTAATAGGCTTAAGGTGGATTCAAAAGATACGATTCCTAGTTGGGGCAGCTTCATAATCGTATAATGAACTGGAATTGTTCTTTTTGGCCTGCCTCTGTTCGCAGAATTAGTTGTATATTTTATAATCCGACATAATCTGATGTAATACTCATTTTATGAGCTAACTATTTAACAGTAGTACACAGGAATTCAGGATAAAATGTGTTCGGATTTGGTTTTTATTTGTGAATTCCGGTTTCGTAAGCGTAATTACATAGAAAGAACAAAAATGCGTACTTGCTTTGCCATGCAAATGTTAAGTATACTTTTGATAAATAGTTCGAAATAGAGTCTTAGAAGCTGTCCTCGTTGGCGATGAATTCGTCGCGAATCTTTTGCAGCTTTGTGATGAGTTCGGCCACGGAGACCTCGCCGTGCACCTTGTTGTCCCGAGTGCGCACATTAACGGTGTTTGAGGAGCGCTCCTTGTCGCCCACCACCAGGATGAAGTTGAACTGAGCCAATTGAGCATTGCGTATCTTCTTGTTCATCGTGTCGCCGGCATCGCAATCCGCCTCGCTCATGAATCCAGCATCATGTAGCTGGTCCCGCACGGACTGGGCGTACTGATCGTATGCAGGACCCACTGGAACCACCATCACCTGGCGCGGTGACAGCCAGAAGGGCCACTTTCCAGCAAAGTTCTCCGTAAGAATGGCAATCATCCGCTCCACTGAGCCAAGAATAGCGCGATGTATGATCACCGGCCTCTTCTTCTCGCCATCGTCGGCAATGTAGCTGAGATTGAAGCGAATAGGCAGCTGGAAGTCCAGCTGAATTGTGGCGCACTGATGGGCACGCTTCAGTGCATCCATAATGGTAATATCAATCTTGGGTCCGTAGAAGGCACCATCGCCAGGGTTCTCCTTCCATGGCATTCCGAACTCGTTGAGCGATTCAGCTAGCGCCTTTTCCGCATCGTTCCACTGTTCCAACTC